CGTAGACAAGCCATCATCTTTGCTACATTTAGATCAGAATTTACAGGCCATAATGTATTGATTTTTTCTTTTAAGAGGCCAATTTCTATAAGCAAAAATAAAAAAGAAATTAATATAAATATTTAAACTTTATATGTTTTTAACAGAAAAAAACAATAAAGATAAAAAAAATGATAAAACTTATAATTAATATTAAGATAATTAATTTTCAATATAATACTATATATTACATGCAACTATATTATTAGAATTGTAAACATGATAACAAAGATTTATAGATATATATTATATATATTGAGTGATAATTCTTACATTTATGTATTATTCGTGTCAGAAATAAATATTATAAATGAATAATAATAAAAATTTGAAAAAGATTTTCATTTGATTTAATTTAATTTTAAAAAAATATTTTTATTCAAAAAAATATTATCGAATTATTTTTACAAGAATTAATAATTAAAACTATAATTAATCATAAATTAATAATTAAAATATAATTAAAATATAATTGAATAAATTAATGATAAGAATTGATAATAATTATTAATAAAAATTAATAAACAGTAATAGAAAAATTATTTTTCATATTAATGTTAAAAACATTTCTTACCTTATTTAAATGAATATCAACTAGTATATAAAATACGTTTATATCATTAGAGTGTTTTCAAAGTTTATTTAGTGCATTCAAAGTTTAGCTGTCTCAAATGTTTCATAAGCATTTTTTTATAAAACTATAACTTGGTAATTAAAAAGAATTTAAAAAGAATATTAATCTTTGAAAGACGATATTGAGTTACGAATTAAATATTAAATATTGATTATATATATGAAATATTAAGTATTGATTAATCAATACGACATAAAAAAAATAATTTATATATGAAATATATAATTATATATAAATATTATATATACATATATATACATATAAGTACTTACATAAATGTCAAAATTTATTTTATTTTTATTATTATTCTTCTTTATACTATTATACATCCTTGCTTAAATAGTTTTTAATTTAATACTCAATCTATTTATGTACTTCTGTATTCTTTCCTTTGATTTTTAGAATTAATTCAATCGATAAGTTAGATAACGATTGAAAAATTTTGATCAGCACCATCTTGTGTTTGAATTACAAAACCTCGATTTGTTACTAATATACCAAAATATATAAAGAGATATTCGAAGTTATAAGTAAGAAAAACAACATTGCGAGAAAGTCCACTATTTTAAGCACATCACGTAAAAAATTCATTAATTACATATTTTCTGAAAATTTTAGCACTTTTAAGCTATTATTTTGAGACTAAAACTTCAGAAAAATTTTATATATCGACTTTAATGAAATTACTTTTAATGAATTAATTTTTAATGAAATTCTTGTAAATAATTACTTATTAATGGTCATGTAGGAACTGACATTATTTATATGTCAACAAGTTTTTCACTAATTTTTCATTAATATGTGATTTATTTTTGAATATAATTATATGCATTTGAAACTTTGTTTTCACCATTACATTTATAAATTTTATTTATAATTTTGTTCTTTATAATAAATAAATTAATTGTTTATTATTCGTATATTTATTAAATAATGAAATTCAAGAGAGACAAAGGAGAGAAAAATAACAAAAGATGACGAAAGAATAACAAAAGCGAGAAAAAAAGCATATATAAATTTTGCAGTGCAAATATACATAAGAGAAAATAATAGTAAAAAACCAGGAATAAAATAAGAATTTATTACAATGCCATCTATTGAGTATCAAAGACATCTCTTCACAAGCTGGATAAGATAGAATAAGAATTGAGCATTATTACTATCTCTACCTTCTTTTTTATTACTTCTTTTATCTATATTATACTTTTGGCACGCATTACAATTACAGATGTAATACAGGATAACAATCGAATAAATTTTCATCATTTCTTTTTTAAAACTATATCTGAATTTTTGTGTAAAAAATGTAAATGTTACATTCTTGGCTTTAGAATATATGTCAAGGACGTATAAAATCATCATTCCATTACTATTTATTTATAATTCTTTAAATATAATATAAATATAAATATAATTATATATAAAATATAATATATTATATACATCGAGAAAATATTCTTCAATAAAATTTTTTTATTTCTTATTCATAATTTTATATTGAAATTTTTTCATTTCAACCTTATATTTTCAAAACAACAAAAAAATTAAATATTAGATCTTTTCTGTATCTTATCTCTTATTTAAAAAATTCTATAAAAAAATTTTCTATAAAATGAAGTATTTAGTCTATAATTTATTTATGGATTCATTATTACATATTACTGCTTTGTGATATTAAATTCGTTTTTAAAAAAAACAAAAGAAAAGAACCAGAATATGAAGTAAAAATATAAAAAGAAAATAAATGGATAAAAACATAAAAATTACAAATTATAAAGGCCAAAAAAATATAATTTTAGATAAAGAATAAAAAATTATCATTTTTAAAACAACCTAATTTATACAATTTTTATATATTTTAATTATATGCGAAAATTTAAAAATAGAAAAAATTCATATATAGAATTCATACTGATTCATATATGTAAAATATACATATAAATATTATATTATATAAATATTTGTTCATTACAAATCATTTTATTTTTTTAATCTAACATTTTAATTTGACACAACTTATATATATATATATATATAATATATATATATATATATTAATAATGTTAAAAATTCTAACAAATATGAAACTATTATTTTTTTTTTTACGTATATTAACTTAAATTAATTAAATATATTCTAAACACATGAGAAAAATTTTATAATGTAACCTAATCTTACTAGAATTTAATATACCTAACCTTTAATATAATATGATTTCCACATGTTCCACAATGTGGCGCTGTAATATACTTTGTTATTTAACATATTTAGCTACTATCCAGTATTATTTCAAATAAAGCAATTAAAATGTAATAAAAATAATAAAAATTTAACATAAAAAAAAACTTTTAATTACAGAAATACATCTGCATCGATATCAAAAATTGTTCACAGTAATGATAAAATTATATTAGGAATGGCGCCAAGGTGTCGCCATTTTCATAAAACTTTACCAAGCAGTAAATCGAGAAGGCTGAGGGGAGGAACAATTCCTCAAAGTGAGTGTGTGCATCCGAAAATTGTTGGAAAAATTGCTAAAAAGCAAGAATAATGTATTGGTCGTAAGTATATCTTCCTTCAATGTTATTTTCAATTAACTTGAATCGCTTTTGGGCACAAAACACGGGGCCTATGGCATGGGACTTCCGTTTAATGAACAGGAACAGGAAGTTCCTCACAATCTGAAATGGCAAAATAAAAACATCCTGTACTGAAGAAAATTTTGAAAAATATACAGCTACATTTCTGAACAAGTAGGCAAAAACGAATAAATCGTGTTAATTCTATTGAATTAAATTTTAAATTTTAATTTTGCGACCTACTTTCGATCCCGGTACTTCAAGGTCGAACAACACTGACGAATTACTGAGTGAAAAGTGGAATGGTCACAGCTAGCCCTTTTTATTTTTAAACAAGTCCAATGATATCAATTATTATGGATCATTTGATTTTAGTGTGCATCAAAAAGAAGGGGATTGAGTTGAATATACAAAAATGCAAGCTGAAAGTATTTGCACTAATGATATTGAGGGTCTGGATTCAGACACCCTTATTCCTGTATGTACAATTTTTTTATGACTGTATTTTATGTTTCATTCTTCAGACACATTGATTTATCTATAGATACTTCATAGGTTGAAATTCTTTCCTGTGATGTATCTCATCGAGCACGTTCTCAAGATGCCTTATCAATAGTGGAATTAGGAAAGCAATTACTTTTTAGTGCAAAATTTGGAGACACTGATACCGTTCGTGATCTAATGTGCAGAGGAGCACCATTTACTACAGATTGGGTATATGTTTTTATTATAATCAATAATTTTATATTTATTTATAATAATATTTATAATAATATTCATAATAATATTATCATTTAATAGTTGGGTACAAGCGCATTACATTTTGCTGCGCAAAATAATCATACAGAAACTGCAGAAGTTTTACTTAGAGCAGGAATTTCAAGAGATGCAAGAACAAAGGTGGATAGAACACCTTTACATATGGCTGCATATGAAGGTCACCATCAGATGACACAATTACTTCTTAATTATGGTGCAGATGTTGATAGTAGAGATATGGTAATTAAAATAAAATTATATAAATAAATTTTATCTATAATATAAATAATTATATAATTTTATCATCTTATAATATAAATAATAAAAAAAAATTGATTACAGTTAAAAATGACACCTTTACATTGGGCAGTAGAAAGGGAACATGTAGAAGTAATGCATGTTTTATTAGAACATGGAGCAGATGCAAATGCAACTAGTAAATTTGACAAAACACCTATTAGTCTTGCATTAGAACATGATAGATTAGATTTGGTAGACATATTACAACAAGAAAGAGAAATTGTAGGTATTAGAGCACATCAACAAAATCAAGCAAATTCAGCAGAACTTGAAGTAGCAACCCATAATTTAATACAATTAGAAGCTGAAAGAGAAGAACAACAAAAATTTGAACTTCCACAACAAGAATCACAACCAAGAAGAAAAGTTACACAAGGTGCATTATTTTATATTTGAATCATTAATTTTTTAATTTTTATATTAAAAATTGATTAATCTTTTATTAAATTATCTTTTATTGAATATTCAGTGCAAGTAGGAAAAAAACCACGAATGATCTTTCAACAAATTCATGTTGGAACAAATGTTGATGTTGAGCGAGAAAAAGAAATAGAAAGTGTAGATGAAATAACTGATGTGAATAATATTAATAACACTAAAAAGCGTAAAGATATTACAGCTATTGGAGGAGTAAACAAACAATTTAGATTATTAGAAGCACATGGAATCACAATGATACCTGTGGATAATGAATCATCTATTGTTGAAAATGCTATGGAAAGTGGAAGGACAGTCGTTTTAACTGGTATAAAATATTTTAATGAGATATAATTTGCCGTTTATATTTATCGATATCTATTATTTATTTATTTTTACAGAAGCAGGTAAACTTGCCCTAAACTTAACAAGAAATTCTTCAATAGGAATGAAACGACTTCATGTAGCTGGAAAAAAAGGGACTCCTAGAAAAGTGATAGCAATTAGAGCAGATCAAATTTTAAGTCAAAATACACCTACTCTTACATCCAGAGGACCTAATATATTGAAAAGATCTTCTGTAGATAATAAAGCTGGAAAATTGTTCATTTCTTCTATTTCTACTACGACGCCTGTATCAACACTTACACAATCTAATCTATCTAAAAACATAATATCTTCATCAGAGGTATAAAATCAAACATGAATAATTAAAAATATTAAAATTAATGCATGTTTCTTATTTTTAATATATTAATATTTAATGATTTTAACAGAATAAGATCATTAATTCTCCTGCAAAAATGACAGAACCAATAATTTTACAATTAGATGATGATATAGAAGAAATTACTGAAGATGATACAACACATAATAATGAACCAGTTATGGATATTGCCCTATTGAATAGACAATTAGCAGAAGCACGAAGACAAGCAGCTGAATATCGTAAGCGGCTTCAAAAAAAAGAAGAAGAGGCTGAAATATATAAACAACAACTTAAAAATATCACAGCGCAAAGAGTATCTAAGTGATTTTATATAAATATACATTTTGTGAATTAAGCTTCATTTTTCAAACAGCCCTGCTTTTCTACAAAAAAAATCTTCTTTAGCTTTTCAGCTTTGTAAAAGAGCTCAATATTTAAAAAATTGTACTTTATTTTAATATATTTTCTTTCATCATTATCTCATCTCAAAGCATTATAATGGTATTTATGCGAGATTTCATTACTAACTGCTTACTTATGTATAGATTATTTTACAAATCTACAAAATTCATTAACTGCATATTATTAATACTCTTGATTTATATCAGAAAAATTGAGTTATTTGTTTAACAGGGCACAATCCTATATTTAATGTATGTATGCTTTCTAAAAGCTGCATACAGTGTGTATGTGTGTGTGCATATGTGCGATTGAGTATGATTTATGCAATAAACAAATATTTTTTAAAAATAAATGTAGATATATATAAAATATTAATTTGCTTTCCACATAATCTTTCACATAAAAAATTGATAATTATTATTTTCAAAATAATCTTTTATATTAATTAAATTAAAAATTTATCATATTCATGAAATAGAGATATTTATTATTTCAATTATTTTTATTACATAAAATATAAGTAAATATTTTTTTTATTTTTGAAATTAAATAATTTTTCTTTTTAAGCAATATCGAAAAAAGAAAATAATATAAAAATTAAATAATAAATAATATAAAAAAATGCGTTATATATAATCTATTTTGTATATAGTGAATTTTTATATATATTGTAAAATTGCATAATAATTACAAAATGATTATATCATAATGTCGTTAAAACTATATAAAAAATAATTAGACGATTTCTATAAAAATTAAAAATTTATATAGAATAAAATTTGAAATAATAGATATTTCTTAATTAATATTTTTTAAAATAAAGAATTAATAACGTTTAATAAACAGAAATATTTATCATATATATTGCTTGAATATATAAATTAGAGTTTGTAGTTTGATTTATTAAATATATTAAATTTTTATGGCTTAAATGAAAGTAATTATTTTTTTATGAACAATTCGTTAGAAATATAAAATGTGGAAAGCAAATAATTCAAAAAAATTAATTTTTAATTATATAAAATAAAGTTTAGTTAACAAATAGATTTATGCATTATTTTGATAACTATTGTTGTCACTTTGTATATTTTCATATAAATAAGATTTCATTCCAAGTATTTTCTTAATAATTTCTAATAAGATAAAACATTGAGTTCAGTTTAAATATAATTCAAAATTATAATATCATTTTTTTATCCAACAATCAGCATGGTGCTATATTCAAATAAAATTCAAAATAATTAAAATTTCTAGTTTAAAAAATAGCAAATAGAATATTATAAATAAGCGACGAAAAGAATATTATGTACAGCAGACAGAAAGAAAGTAGTTCACTCAGGTACAAATAATAGAGTGTATAATAATATATGAAAGAGAATTAATAAGTGTCAAATATTATTAAACCCAATAAAATAATACTATTAAGATTTTTTTAGTAATATATGTTGTAAATATAAACGTTTATACATAAATAAACACAAAACGTTTTACACAATAATGATAATAGAAATTGTTAACTCAAAATTTTCATTCGAAAATAAACATTTTATATTTCACGAGTTATTTGTATTGTTCTGCCATTTAATGCTAAATATAATGATTTTAAGTAAAAATGATTTTATAAGATGTAATAATTTTTTTAACAATATGAAAAATGTTGAAATTATGCTACATATAATTTTTTAAATATATTAAATTTTTATTCCTTAAATAAAAATGAAATTATTTTTTATGAATAATTTGTTAGAAACATTTTAAAAATACAATTTTAAAACAATTAAATTATTTAAGATATGAATATGTATATATAATAAGTTTAAAAAATTAATAAAAATTTTATTATGATTTCTTAAAAAAGTATGCAATCGATAATCTCGTGAAAATGTCTCCCGCGCTATCGATTTAAAAACACTTGTGGCAGCACTGTCTATCGCTAAGTTTCATATTTTAAAAACTTTGCTTATCGATCTGTTCGATGGATTTCCGTTTCATCTCATGTGAAAGAAACGAAACTATTATTCGAAATATTATTTTATTATAAAGCATAAACAGAACTTAGGAAATTCTAACATTTATTTTTAAGATAATGTGATATCAACAAAGAATCTTGTCTCTCTACACTGCATATAGATATACATTGTTCGTGTTTCTAGCTCTTGCGATCGATCGCAGCAGTCGCACAATCTCAGCCTGCTGTGAAACGTCGGCGTGTTTACTGTGTTTAATGTGTAGTACTATAGAAGGCCATATAAAGGCTACACAACAGTGCGAGAATTTAAAAGAAATAGAATACTTTCATATTTATTAAATCGCGTTCGTTTTAATAATTTATTACATCAATAAATATCTACAGAAAAAGCAAAATTAGAAAACAATATTCGTTTTCTTTGTTTAATTCTGATCGATTGAATCGTTACTCCCGCTATTCGAAATTATACGAAACTACGCAGAACTACGTCATTGAGCGACAGCGTCGTTCGAAAAAACCTTGAAGTGTGCGTTTGACATTCTACCGTAAACTTTTCGCGCTCTTTCGATGTAATTGAATTTCAAAGATACATCAGACAAATTTGATGTATAAATTGATGACTTATATTAATAGAAATATAATTCAATATGATATGATAGAAAAAATATGATAAAAATGAAATATAAAATAGTTCGATTAAAAGATAGTTTCGTAAAAACGGCCTAAAGCTTACAAATCTCAAGTGCTATATTACACGACAGGTTGAGAACCCTCCAAATGTTTCGTAGCCCAGACCCAAAGGCGATGTCCAGTGCGCCGCGCTGTAAAGAAGGAGACTGTTTTCGTTGTCATTGTGGTGGTTATTATTTCTGCGTTACCGCCATATTCTGTGATTTGACAGTAACGATTCTCGCTAATAGAGCAGCGAGGTACGAATAACGTGTTCGGGAAAGGCGATATCCCACGATTACGTGCATCGTTATTATTGCGCCCGAAGGTGCGCGCGCGCGCGCGCGCGTGCACATACTACATCTCATATATTCTCGAGAGGCGCAACGATCTTTGCCTATGTATCGGTGTGTTTGTGGTAAGCATCGTGATATGTGGAAAAGTGTAAAGTGAACGAAGGAGAGGAGGCGTCAGAAAGTATCCATTTTCTTCAATGTCTAAACAATACGAAAACAAAGTGGGAGTTTAAAACAACAACATAGTAGTGTTTTTTTCTCTTGCTTGCTTTTCTCTGTCTATCTTTCTCACTTGTCTCTTGGACGCGTGTGTTCGTTGTGGTTTTGATGCGGGTGTGAGTAGCAGGTAGAACATCAAGGTAACGAAAATATCGAAGCGGGAAGCAGCGTCGAATGTTTTAAACATTAATTTTTTTATCATTTTTAACTACATTAAGCTTTTTTATAAACGAATTGTGACACAGCGGTGGCAATTGAAAATAATTGTACGAGAATGCAATACGAGTTGTTAGGTCGCCTAGCGTAGTATATCGCCTAGCGGCGACGGGCCCAGAGAGAAGCGGCGGAAAAATGGCGTCCGATAACGAAGCCTCTTGCGCGAGTGACCCAAATTTCGCGGTGATTTGTTCATTTCTCGAGTGCTTCGGCAAGTCCTGTGGCATTGTTTATCCTGATATCGCACACCTTCAAGAAATGCTCGAAAACACACAGGAAGGTAAGTAAAGCTACATGTATATGTGCATGTGTAGAAAAGAGAGAGAATGATTGACCCTCCCCCGCGAGACCAAAAATCTCGCGTGTGCTATTAGTTATTTTTTATATTTTTATATATTTTTGTTTGTAAATTTTGTTATTTAATGTTTTTATTAATTTCTAAATTATTTTAAAATAATAACTTATTAATAACATAATAACAAATTTATAATTGTTTTCATCCCCTTTTTTCATTGGAATTCAACACATTATTTTTACAGATCTTTGTCTTTTATTTGTTTTGCTTTATATAGCAACAGTTAATAATAACAAAAGCTATAAGTAATTAATAATGATTAACAATCATTTATATGGAATTCATTATTTCATTAAAATAATACTTGATTATTGACAGCTTATTTCAATTTACTATTCACTGTTGTTATTTTCTCATGTGCTGCCACCTCCCTTGTTGTCAACGTCGCGTCGGTTACACGTGATTACGAGTTATGAATCGCGCGTCAAATTAATGATTCAGAAATATGTTTTAATAACTTAATATTTTATGATATTTTATATATAAAAGTAATTTAAAAATTATTATCAAGTTTTTATTTATTACATATTTACAAATTAAAATTTTAAATTATTAAATAAAATTATATAATTATATAAATCATAATATATTTTTATTAAAAAAAAGTTTTTAAATTTATTTAAATATAGATATTAGTTTTTTTTATATGTGCTTTTATCAATACTTACAATTATTCCTTTTTTTAGTACCACAACAGTTAATAGATCTTCACATCAAATTACTACGAAAAACACGTAAAACAGTATCACCAGAAAAATGGGAACGTGCATTGGTTAAATTTTGTCATACATATTCTAATCAAGATGGATGGGAACTTGAACGGTTTGGTTATAAGAAAGCCCGTATTGCTGTCAAGCTGCGACTACTTAAAGTATAAGCATAATTATATTATTACATATTATAAAATATTATTTTTCTTTATAGATAAATATTTAAAAAAAAATACTTATATATTCTATATTATTCTATATATTCACATTTTGAATATTATATATATATAATTATACATAATCAATTTATTTTATAATATATTTTCTCATTTCAGGTTCTTTTAGAGACACAATTTGATTTAAATCAAAAGTTTAAAAATGAAGTAAATAAATTAGCAGCTAAGGAATTACGTGTGGAACCCTTAGGAAGAGATAAATCTGGTTTAGCTTATTGGTGTCAGCTTGATGAGGAATGCAATATTAGAGTTTATAGAGAAGATTTAGATGAAGAAAATTGGGAACTTGTAGCTAAGTAAGTCTTTAATATAAATATGAAATTCCTTATTCTGATTGATTTTAAATATATTATATATTATTATTAGGGATCGAGAAGGTGTAGTTAATCTTATAAATACTTTATCAAATGGAGAAATTGAAGCTATTCCAATTAATGAGGACAGTAATAGTTTAGAAATTTCTGAGAAACCTATTATTGATACGGGACAAATATCTACATCACCAAGTTTGGAGGATGAAGGTGTTCAAGAAAATGGTATTCATATTGAGGGATCTGATGAAAAAGACTTAGATAAAAGTGAAGATTTTGAAGATGAACGAGAACAAGATAACATTAATGAAGGTGATAATGTTGAGGAAGATATAGAAGGTGAAGATGAAATGACAAATGATGAAAGTTCTAAACAAAATACAGAGGAAGATGATTCTCAGCAGACAATACAAAATGAAGTAATAGAATCAAATCTTATTGAGACACCATCTTCAGTATCAGTATGTTCTCTTAAAATTTTAAATGGTAAGATTGATACATTATCAGAAAAAGAAATAGTTTCACCTCATGAAAAAGAATTAAACATTCAAAAACCAATTATTACTCCTGTTATATCTAATGATAAATCTGCAGAAACATATAAATCTGAAGAGCCTACAACAGGTAATAATTCAAAAATTAATTCTGATGAATCAGTGTCTTTTAAATCAATTGAAACACCTGTTATTACATCTCCCCTTAAGTTAATAAATGTTTCTGAAATAAAACAAATACATGAAGAAAAAGCTGTTAGTGGAATAACGCCAGTTGTATCTACATTGAATATAGTAAAGAAATATGAAGATTCAACAGATCAAATCATAAAACCATTAGATAAATTGTCTAATAAAAATAATTTTCCTTTTACGCCTGCAGATATGCCAACAGCTCATAGCAAATTATCTGTGAAACCAATAGATCAATTGGCTGCAAATCTTGTGAGAATACAATCTGAGAAACTTGAAAAACCAAGTGGAGCAAAATCATTAGAAAAAATCGCAGAAAATCTAGCGAGATCAGGAAGTATTGTGGGAAATATAATAAATGGAGATGATGATAGAATATCACAAGATTTTTATGCAAGAAGTCAAATAGAAAAAATTACTCCACTTAGAGAACATAGAGGTATGGATTTGTCTACATCACCTAGAGGATGGGAAAGCACAAATGAACAAAACAGACCAATGGACTTTTCTGGAATCGATTTATCTAGTCGAAAATTTAATAAAACTATTGAATTATCTTCTTCTGGATATAGAACTCAAGATTTTCAACATAGAGAAATGGACCTTAGTACGAAAAAATTAAATAAACCGGAAGTTACAAATTTACCATATGATGCTCGAACTGTGATGATGCGTAATCATGTAATGGTAGCAGATTTAAGTAAAAGACAAATGTCATTTCCTAATTACGAAATGTCTTCTGCTCCATATCATAATGCTACAAGAATGTCTACTAAGGAAGATCATAGATTACCAAATTATACAATACTTCCAGATCCAAGTAAAATTACAGCTTTAAGAATGAATCCAACACCGATAAAACGTTCGTTAGAAGGAGATGATATACAACAAGATATGTTAAAAAGAATAAGAGCAGATGTAATACCGATTAGAGGATCAATGGATAAAAGGCCAATAATAAGTAATAATTGGAGAGACGAAGTTGGTGAAGCTATTGAGGAACCAATGATAATGATTCAAGGTGAAGGATCTGGTAGTGATTGTGATGCAGTCAATCCTGGTCTTGGAGAAGCTGTAGAAGAACCTATAATTTTTTTTTATGGAGAAGGATCTGGTGAAGAATGTCAGACAGGTAATCCTGGTGAAGAAACAACTGACAATAAAGAAAGCAACGAATCAAAAAATGAAGCTGACTCTGCTACTTCTTCTCCATCATCAAATAAAAATTTAAACGAAGATAGCCTTATAAATGAAGTATCTGTTGGATCACTAGTAACAAGTAAAAATGCGATAAAATTAAACAGAAATTATCCTCAATCAAGTGTTAGTATAAGAAGTAATTGTCAAACTGTAGGCTCAACACAAGAAAAATCAAAGTTCAAACCATCATTGGGCATTCAAATAATACCAAAAAATTCTAATAGTTCTGTGAAAAGATTATCAAGATGGGATGTTGGAAAACCAGAAGAAAAACCAGAATGTGACAGTAGTATCATATCAAATGAAGAAGACATATCACAAAAGAGAAATGAAACTGAGCGCGAAGATTCGTCTAGTAAAAATCAAGATATTAAACTAGACGAAAATTCTATAAATACTGAAAATTTAAATATACAAAAAAGAAATACAGAAATAGAAAATTTGCAAGAAAGTACAGACGAAAATTCCCAAAAGCACAGAACTATTTCACAAGATACTATGCAATGTGACTCGTCTATATCTTTATGTCAAGCGGATACATCAGAAACTGAATTTTACACAGAAATTATACCCACAACACAACAATCAATAAATAATAAAGATATTATTGGAAATGTTTGTGATTCTGATAGTATAGCTTCACATGAAACAGAAAGAGTAAATAATGAATGTAAATCAGTGGCTGCATCTCCACCAAGATTTTTTTTTGGACCTAATTGTATTTCATACACTTCTAGGGTAGAAACATTTGAATCATCTTCTGATCATACAGTTTCAACAACGATAGAATCTAAATCAGATACATTACAATATGAATGTGTTTCTTCTTCCAAGCCAACAGAAGATATAATTACTTACAAATCAGATGATTTTATCATAACTCAAATGAATAATTCATTAAAAGTAAATTCATCTACAAGTAATAATTTAGTTTGTGAGAATGATAATAAGAATAAAATAGAAAAAATTGAAGGACCAACTAATACATGGAAACAAACAATTTCTTCAAAATATTCTACACAAGAACAACATTGTTCAATACAGAAAACAGAAATAGATTTATCTAAATCTGAATCAAAAGAAGAACATTTTAAATCTGTTATAGATTCTATTTCTAGTAGTGAAAATACAAAAAATGAATATACAAAATCTGAAGAAATAGAAATATTAGATGTAACTTCACAACCTCATAGTACGAATGATATAAAAAAAGAAAGTAAAGATTTAAAATCTGACAATGCAATTGTAACACAATCTATAATGCAATTTAACTCAGATACTGAATCTGTACATTTTGAGATATCAAAAGCAAAAAGTAATACATTAGAAGAACAATTAGAAAGTCAAAATAAAATATCAGATCTACAAAACTTTGCTAAAAATATAGAAACATTAAATTTTTCTTCTAAAGATGAAGTTGATTATAAATCTAATGCATTGATAATTAAGAAAACTGAATTAGAAACAGATTCCACAGCTGTTAATAATAATTCATGTTCATCATCTTTTGCTCAAAATTCAGAATCAGATAGTACAAATAAGGAAGAATTATTTACCTGTCAGAATGTAGATAATTCAACAGAAAAAAAGATTGAACACATTTCTGAGAAAGAATTTAATTTATCTGTTGAAAGTTATAAACAAAATGACAAAAATGATAATATTCAAAAATTTTATAATCAAGAAAAGCAATTAGTAAATCCTAATAACGAAAATTTAGAAAATTTAATTGATTCTGATTTACATTTAGCACATAATTACAGTAAAATTAATAAAAAAGTGGAAATTTCACAACAAAATGAAATTTTGGTTGATTCATTTACAAAAAATTCTGTGCCTGATATTAATATTGAATTAGATTTTACAGACAGTTCTACTGTTACTAGTTCAGAATCAATTAAACAATGTAATAAAGATGCACTAGTTCCTACAATAAGTAGCTCAGATGATACTTGCATTCAAAATACTTCCATTCATGAAAGTGTTAAAGTGCATTCAAATTCTGAGAAATCGTCCTTCAAAAATGAATGTCCTATTTACAATGTATTACCAGAGACAGTACCTGACACAAATAATTTTAAACCATCCAACAATTCTGATGCAGTTGAAATCAATTTATCTAATATAGTTCAAACTGCAACATTAGAAGATCAAAGTTCCTGTATTGATCAAGATTTAAATAAAGATATGATCATTGATAATAAATTATCAAAATCTGATAAACTTTCTAAATTTAATGAGGAAAAAACATATTTTAATGAAAATTCATCGCATGATGAAAGTACATGTGGTCTTTCATTGGAATTATGTTCATCTTCTGATGAAATAATAAATTTGATGTTGTTACTGATAATGAAAAGTTAAAAAGTATCAATTATGTGGACATTCAACAAAAATCGGATACTATACTGTTATCTGATGCACCTACAATTTCAGAAGTTGAAAAAAAGATTGAACAGATTGAAAAAAATAGTATGATTCAATGTGAATATAATACAAAACATATAGAAGAGAATAATATAAAAAATAAAGAGGAAAAATCTACATGTAACATTATAGAAAATGAAAATGAAATTCAGCAAGAATATATTAGTGAAAATTCAAAGATAGAAGAACCAAAATTAAATCAATTAATTGCAGATCTACAGGAATCAAACGAAATTAAACATTCTTTAGTGGCAAATTATGAGAGCAGTGATTCTAATGATTGTATTGATTACACTCCTGAAACTTCTCAAATAGAATCAACTGAAAATAAGAATAATTTATTTACAAATTTAGGAGTTGAATCAATGATTATTAATGAACAAAAAACTGAAAAATTAATTATGAAGGATGATATATCATCTAGAGAATTAAAAAATGATATAATCATTGATAACAAAGAAAGAGAATCAATGTCAGAAAATAATACCGAGACAATGACAAACGAAACTGAATATAAACAGGAGAAAATAATTAGCAAAGAAATAATTGAAGAAGATTATAATTGTGTTGTTAATCAATATAATTTGAATGAAAATTCAAATGAGAAAACAAATATTAACAATTCTGAAAAAGATCATACTATAGAATTAACAAAAACAGAAATATTACCAATTCTTCATGAAACTGATTCATTAAATAAAGAAAATATAAATTCAACATTAATTAAAACAAATAATTTAATAGACGAAATAAATAAAACAGAAACTAATGATTCAATTAAAATTTCAAATGAAATCATGAATTCAATTTCTGAAGAAAAGAATGATAGTCAAACAATAAATTCTATAAATATAATTAAAACACATAAACAAGCAGACAAAGATAATGAATACAATGATATTAAAAAAGACATAACATGTGAAAATTTAAAAGAACAATCTATAGAACCTATAGAAGAAAAATTAATAAATTTTGACAGTGATATCAAATTTATTAGAAATAAAGAATCAGAACATGTCAGAAAAGAATTTACAATCATGGAACCATGTAAATTAACAGAATTATCAGAATTTGGCAATAAGGAAAATAAATTTGATGATACATATTTACATGGTGAAGAAGATTTGAATAAAGATTTATCTGAGAATACAACTCTTCATTCTATACGAAATATTTTGCCACTTAATAAATTTGACAATACATCCTCAGGTATAAATAAATCTGAAGTGTATAAAAATAATATTTCAACTGTATCAGAAAATTTCAAATCTATGGATAATCTACAATTTGTAAATTTTATATCTGATAAATCAGAGAATTTAAATGTATCAGATAATCATGAAAAGCATAATGAATCACATGTTATGAATAAAACAATAGAATCCCTTCCTGAAAATACTATTTCTAGAATAAATGATAAAGGAACATTTTTTAATATACACGAAGCAACACCAGAATCAACTACTATTATAGACAATTTTAAAAAAGAATGTAGTAAAAGATTAAATGAAGTTTTCGATACTCAAGATGTTCCTCCATTAAAATTTAAACCTCCATATGTAGAATCTAATGAACAAATGTTAGAAGATTTAGCTAATTCTAAAATACAATTGGATCAAAATTTAAGTAATCTTAAACAAGTAGAAATTGATGAAACTAAAATAAATGAAGATATAGCATCTGATAATACTATAGAACATTTAACAAAACATGAATACAGCATAATAACTAATACAACAGATAACATATTACATGAAATTGAGCAAAAAAATAATGGTAAAAATAATGAAAAAAAACAAAGTTCAGAAATACAAAGTATTGAAGTAAAAACGGTCGCTTTAACATCTGACGATTCTATGGAAGTAGATAACCAAAATTTGTTTAATACAATTCCCGAAGAAATGGATCCTTTAGCGTGTACTGATGATGATACATTTAAAAAATTAGATGATAACGAACAAAATGACATCTCTACACCAAAAATAGGTTTACGAGTTAAATCCGTATCTGAACTCGTTTATGATGGATGGAAACTAGATTCCACCGAAACACCAATAATATCTCGTAAACGCCGTAATAGTTCCCATGAATCAAATTCTGAAGATATAATTACGAAACAAAATGATGAAGAAATTATAGGAGGTAAAAGAATAAAATTGCGTACGAAACGTATGCCTGATAAACAATTACGAAAATCTGTAGAGGAAAGTCGTATTGTAACGATAAGTTCAGAAGATGAGGCTATGAAATGTAGTCCTGAAAAATCAGAGGATCAAGAAATTAAGGATATGAGTGATGACCAAAGTACTATCCATTCAATTGCAATTGGAAGAAAAACAAGGGGACGTCCTAGAGGAAGACGAAGACGAGGCTATAGAGGAAGTGGACGTTCAAATCGGCCAAAACATTCTGAATTTCAAAGCATTCAATCTTCTGAAATATCACCTGAAGTTCATCTTGATGGAACACCAAGTAATAATGATTCTTTAAGTATGACACCAATTTCACAAAAAAAACGAAAGAAAAGTAAGTTTTTATTATTTTTTTTTTATATATATTTTCTTGTATTACATCTTGTATTATAAGATAATATATAAAAATACTACTTACAGGGAAAATGGTTTTGGGTCTAGAAGTAGGAAGAGATATTGTTCCTGAAACACAGACAGGATTAATTCAAGATGAAACACCTGTAAGACAGTCTAGAAGAATAGCACAATTAAAAATTAAAGAAGAAGCAGATAGACGAAGAATTGAAGAGGAGACTTCAAACGAAAGAAAAGAAAAGAAAGATTGTATGGAAAAGAAAAAACGGAAAAAACAAAAAGTACACTTTTATTTTATATGATTTTTTTATTAATATTAATATATGTAGGATAACCATTGTATCTTTTTCAGCTTGAAAGTGAAGAAGAAATTGTGATAAGAGAAACGGAAAAAGAAAAAAAGTCCAAAAAGAAACGTAGAAAGAGAAAAAAGAAAAAAATGTTGGCTAAATTCAATGAAGCAAATCCATGGCAAAGTTCTTCAGGTTCTAGCAGTGATGAAGAAAATGAAAATGATGAAGAAGAGGATGAAGATGAAGAAATAGAAAGTGAAGGATCATTACTTTTTAAAAGTGATCATGAATTTTCACCAGAAAGTGATCTTGAAAAAGATCAAGAATCAGAGCCATTAAGAAGAGCAAGAACTGCACAAAAGGGTATTATACGATTATTTACAATTATAAACTTTATTAAAATATAAGTATTTTTACTTTATTAAAATTTTTATTTTCATTATTTTTATTTTTTACTTTATTAAAATATAATATATTATTTAATTATAGCTCAGAGTGATGTTGAAGAAGCAGATGATGAATATGCTTGTCAAAAATGTGGTAAAGCAGATCATCCAGAATGGATACTTTTATGTGATTCTTGCGATAAAGGCTGGCATTGTTCTTGTCTTAGGCCTGCTCTTATGTTAATACCAGAAGGTGATTGGTTTTGTCCTCCATGTCAACATGTAAGTTTTTAATTTTAATGCATATATTTTATTGTGATATTTTAACTATTATTTAATATTTAATTTTAGAACTTGCTAGTAACTAAGTTAAGAGAAAGCTTAAAAATGTATGATCAATTGACAAAGAGACACGAAAATGAAGTTTTAAGAAAGAAGAGATTAGCATTTGTTGGTATAAGTTTAGATAATGTTCTTCACAAAAATGAATCACAACGTCATCAAAAAGGATCAAAAGCATCCAGTCAAGAATCTGATAACGGTAACTTTTTAATTTTTCTTTTTTACATTATTTATTTTATTATTTTAAATGAATTTTTTATATTTTTTTATAGAATCTACATCTGCTTCATCTTCTACAAGTACAGAAACATCAAGTAGTGAAGAAAGCGAACCTGTATATCAATTACGCGAAAGACGTTGTGCTAACAAATATAAATTTAATGATTATGATGCTATGATCAATGCTGCAATTCAAGATGAGGTAGAAGCTATTCAAGGAGCTGGTAATCAAGGAAGAGGAAAAGATATTGCGACCATAGTGAATGCTGAAAAAGAAGAAGCTCAGGTTTCTTACACATTTTTAATTGATTTGTTGTTTATAATTTGTTTTTAATATTAATTTGCTTTTAGCTTCATTTTAAGAATGAAGTATTAAACATTGAAGAAACTCCAGAGAATAAAGATGATATTGACAGAAAATCAGAAAAAGAAAGTGATGAAGAATATAAAATTGAATGTGAAGATGGCATGGATGAAGAAGAAGAACATAAAGGGGTAGTAAAAAAATTCTTATCACGTAAAAAACATCGCAAATTAAATAGCCTTGATATAAGTAGTGAAGATGATCCTGAAAGTGATGAAGATTTCAAAGGTACAAGCTCTGAAGAGGAAGAAGATTTTGATGATCACATAACATCGTCTGATGAAAGTACTTTCGCTGATGTAAAACGACGTAATAAAAAGGGAGATTCACGATCAGTACGAAGAAGCACTAGAGCTAGAACTACACGCTATGATGAAGATTTTAGTAAGTATAACAAATAACTTTTCTAATATTATAACATTTTATTTAAGTTTTATTCATAAAAAAAAATTATTTTTTATTAAAATTTTATATTTAAAATTTTTTATAGTAAATGATGACAGTGAAGAAAGTGATAGACCAAAACGAAAAAAATCTCGATCAACGTGGGATTCAGATAATGAGGATAGTGATAATTCGTGGCGACAAAGGAAAAAAAAGTAGGACATTTTATTTACTATATAATTAATTTATGATTAGATCATTATTTTTAAATTTTATTTTAGAAGTAAAACCATATCAACATCTAGATATAAGACATTATCGAAAACAAAAAGTAAAAAGAAAAAAAAGAGAAAACGTATAATTGAATCTGATAATCAAAGTGAAAATGAGTCAAATGAGGAACCAAAAATTGAAATAACAAGTGAAATACAATCACAATTAGAAAATAATGAATCCATAATGCCTCATATATTAGATGCTAAACTTGATGATGCAAATGAAAATAATGAAGACAAACCTATAAATGAAATAAAATTACAAGAAATAAATTCGGAAATGCCTGATATACCTGCCACTCTATCATTAGAAGAAATAACACAACAAAAGAAAAAGAAAGTAAGTTCTATAATATTTATATGAAATATTTGAAGTACTCTCTTTTTTAATATTTGTTTTTTTTTTTAATTTATTGTAGGAAAACACATTAAAAACAAAGAAGACACCAACAATTCGAAGAAAAGTACGTTTTATTATTATCTAATTTTATGGTGTTTATTTTAAGAGATAGCATTCTTATTTAAATATTTTATTTATATTTTTTATATTCTAATCAATAATTTATAATCTAATCATTAATCATCAATCATTTTAGATTATATACGGTGGTCTTCCAGATGAAAATAAACCAGAAGAAGAAGAAATATTAAGTAGGCGAACTCGTGGTAAAAAAATTAATTATCAAGAAGAAATGGCATCAGATAGTGAAGAGGTAATATATTATAATATAATATAATATAATATAATATAATATAATATAATATAATATAATATAATATATTATATTATAATATAATATATTATATTATATTATAATATATTATAATATAGCATAAGATAAAGATATGAAAATGAAAAAAAATTTTTTTGTTATACTATAGGAGTTAAAAAAAGCATTAAGAAAAACGGGTGAAAGCGAAGATGAATTTGTTGTGAATGAAGGTGAAGATTTAAACGAAGATGCTGAGAAAGATTCAGATTCAGGTAAATAAAAAAGAATGTACTAATTTTAAGTATAGGCATACACGTGAATTAATATATAATATCACCTTATAGGTGATATTTATAATCCAAAAAAAGATGGTCATAAATTTAAAAATAAATCGCCAAAAAATAGAAAACCTAGAAAAAGCAAGAGTCCCGGTGGTAAACGAAAGATGTTAAACGATGGAACTCCGAAACAAAGAAAAAAACCTGGTCCAAAACCTGGAAGTAAAAACAAATCTCGTAAACAAAACTTTTTGTTTAATTCTGTAATTCAAAGAAGAGATGATCAAGAAAAAGATATTATAGCAAATGTGATGGATAATCCTATAGGAGAAATAGATACGAAAATTGATGAGAATCTTTCAGAAAATGTAGGTTTAACTAGCACAGCTATGTCAGTGGCAGGTTCTTTTACTGGAGATGTTCCAGAAGGTTCTTTGACAGGACTTGGAGCTAGTGAACTTACTGAGTTAGATGACGAACAATTAGAACAATGATGATGGAAGATGAAGAATATGGCAGGCGACAGTTGGAACTTGCAGCTATTGAAATAGCAAAAAAGAAGAAAAAAGAAGAGCGAGAAGCAAAAAAATTGGAAAAGGCACGATTAAAAGCGTTGGAAATATTGGCAGCTGAAAGACAACGAGATCCTAATGCCCCAGAAGGAATTGATGGAGAAATACCAAAGAAGAAAAAAAGAGGTCGTCGTAGTAAAGCCGAAATTCTTGCAGAACAAATGCGTAGGGATGGGGCTCCAAATTTGAATACTAGTTTGACTGCTGCTATGCCGCAAAATTTGATAACTACTATACCATCTAATATTAATCCTAATATATCAGCTGTTATGACGCCTGATGCAGAAAGAACAGGTGAAGGACACATTCCTATGATGACAGGACCAGATGGACAACTTTTTAATCCTGATGGATCGCCTATAAAACCTAAAAGAAGAGGGCGTGGAAAAGGTAAAAAGACTCTTGCATTGGAAGCAGCTAGAGCTGCGGAAGCAGCAGCAAAAGCTGCGGCTGAAGCTGGTTTAATAGGAATGGGAACTGATTCGAATTCGGAGATAAAACCCAATGAAATTCCGAATGTACTTCCTACACCAGGTAGTAGCACTTCTGGTTCGGCTCCGTCCACACCACCTGCTGGCGTTGTTACAACACAAGGACCACCTTCGTCACAAACACCAACTTCACAGTCTGTTTATCCATCATTACCACCTAATCAACAGTCTTCCGTTATTACCAGGATGCTTCAGTCTCAACCCGTATCGAGTAGCCCACAATCCTTTTCCGCTGCAGCTGCAGCAATGGGACACAAATATTTTGGAGGACCAAACGCTGCAAGTCAAATGATGGGCGGACCTAGGACAGGTTATGAAATGCAACCACGTGGAAGAATTCCTTCTCCGTACAGACAAGCAGGACAATCTTCCATACCACCTCATTTTGCAGCTGTAAGATCAGGAACTCCACCAATGAGAATGAGAGTACCTGGTCCACAAATATATCATACGCCCCATCATCCAATGGATCCTTCTCCATCAGGTGGTGGACCAATATCAATTAGCAATCGAGATCGTAGTTCTCCACTTGGTCCTGGACCTGCGATGATTCCACCAGCTGCTGGAAGTCCTCTAACAAAAGGTGGTCCTACACCTCCTCCACCTCCTCCTTATGTCAGAGGAGCACCTCCTATGTCCAGGTTTACAGACAATCCAATGGGTCCTAGACATCAAATGCCACCTTTTACGAATGCTTCACCAGTTAATCATAATATGCAACAACCATCACCACCTCCTAATCGACCACCTGGTAATTTTTCTCCGTATCATCCTCCACCTCCACCAAATTATCATTATGGTGCCTATCCACCTCCACCACCATTGTCTACAGCAGATGATGCAGCCGCATATCAAGGATCTCCATATCCCGCGGATCATTTTTCATCCCCTGCGGATAATCAACCACCTATTCAAGCTCCACCTCCTCCTCAACCTCCATCTCAACAGCAAGCACATTCAAATGCTGATGCTGGCAATAAACAATATGATGAAGAAGGTTCTGGAGAATTTAGTGGTTTAGTATCATACTTCAGTAGCCAGAGAGAAGATGATCTTGATTCGTAGCATGAGTGAGATCTTGGCCAACCCTGAATCTTTATGTGAATGCATTAAATAATAGTATTTTAACAATCAACAAGTAAAAATCACAACTTTTGCTCGAGAGGACAAGTATAAGAGAAACATTAAAAAAGTTAATAACATATAATGTAACGTAAATA